ATACACAAAACTTTCCTCTGCCATAAATTACAAAACTGTGAACATTAAATTAGATATTACTACAAACATCAAGATTTCAAACACGAGAAATGAAATTTAAAATAACCAGAAAAATTGCATTACCTTTGATTGAATCAAGATTTTAAGACCGCTCATAAAATCGTTTATCCATATTCTATGCAATACTGCTCGAACAATTCTCTGCCTCAAGGTATCAGTTCTAGATCCTGATTTCCTCCTCGAAAATATTTTCCTATGTTCCGTGTTCAATGAGAATATCGAATCTCGTCGAAACACAATCTCATAAGTCTCAATGGATAAAAATTCTTTTCCATAAAAATATTCGATGCACGCAGGAAATGGACGATTCCGCGTGTGAGTCCTCTTCTCTTGCGATCCGGCCTCAATTGTTGCATCCGCGACTCAAGTGGGGTAAGCATAGGAGGGGTGGGGGAAGAAGTCAAGGATGCACGGCCACGCGAACGGTTAGGATTCCAAGGAAGACCACTTGGTGTAATCTACGCCGGAACTTTTCTCCTGGGAGGGAATCAAACCGTTTTTCTCTTATCTTATTACGTTGAACATTATCTCCAGTGATCGGTTTCTCGATGGAAATCGTGTTATTGGGATCGTGTTCGATACATGTACACCGAATTGAATTTGCCCCTCAGATATTCTTAGCCTGACGAGTTTTGGATATTTACCTGTATGTGTTGATACATTGTATGTTATTATTAGCTTATGAATGATATATTAATTTAATAATTGTAAATATAAATATTTATGATTTACATTTAAAATTTCAATTAGTTTATGAAAAAAATAAGTTTATCTGGATTAATTGGAAAATATGATTTTTTGGATAGTTAAATATTAAACAGTATATTAATAATAGTTTATGTATAATTATGTAGAATTAGTCTCTCAAGATCGTTGAGGAATTATATATTTTCTTTAACATATTATTTGATTTTATTTTTTCGTTTCTATATATTGTATTTTTTCATAATTTAATATATTATACAAAAAATAATTGTTCCTATAAGTTTGAAATTATTGTTGATTTTATTATAACAATTTATTAAAAGAATATTATTCAATAATTCTTATATATTAAAAAAATATTATTCAATTTTAAATTTCATAAAATTATCCAAAATAAATTTTTTTCGATCTTATCTTCAATGCAAACGAGCCAATTTTCATTATTTTCAAAACTCGCATAGGAAAACTCAATTTCATAGTGAACACCCGTTAGATGAAACTTCATGAAACACGTGTCGCGACGCGCCGCTCTATCGGTAAACAGCTACACGAAAAATTGTAGAGTAGGCAAACTTGGAGAACACGAGGCGAAGCGAGAATTCACAACTTCTCTGAAGACAGAAGGATCGATCGATCGGCTCCGTCCGGTCGCTCACTTTCTTTCTCTCTCTCTTTCATCCTCTTCGCCCTTCTCTCCTAATCTGAATTTTCCCCTCCCTTAAGATTTTTCTTAACAGAGAATCTTTCCTCCTCCTTTTATCTCGTGCCGCTTTATTCTAAGTTCCGCTACCTCTACCATCTCTGATAGATGGAATCGTTTCGTTTCCCGTACTCTCTAACTCGGCTGATGGGCTGAACCAGAGAACCGTCCAAATGGCGGAAAAGACAGAGGGAAAAGAGAGAAGGAAACGAAAGAAGTTGGAAGAAGCCAATCTCAGAAATGAATATGACTCTTGCAAAATTCACAGAACAATCCGCGGGTCGCTCAATGTGGCTTGTTTGTCTGTTTGTTTGCGCGCCTATTTCCGCTCTCATTTATATGCACGCACATCGTCCAGTATGGCCACATGTAGCGTCGACAAATGTGAATTGGTTCACGCATTGAACGAATCATTTTACGAATCACGCATTGTGGACATGGCGAGAAGAAAAAAGATAAAGAAAAAAGTGATAGATGGAAATACGTAAATATAAGATTTAATACACGTAGTTGGATTTTATATTTATAGGTTAGGTTTGTTTTCAAAATTAGATAGATATTGAAAGAAATCATCTTAATTTCTGAATTCTTTTTTTTTTAATAACATTTTAAATTATATTTGAAATGAATGAATTTAAAAGTTTATCATAAATAAAAATATTTAAAAAATTGTCATTAAAAATTTAATATGATTTTATAATCGCGAAGTGATCAATTAAAAAAATATCAAAAATCGTTGATTAAAAATAACAAAATTTCTTTATTGGAATCTAGATTAAGTATCTAAGAATATTTTCTGTTACTAAATATTACTAAATATATTGAATAACGATTTTATATTTTTTTAATCTATAATTTAATTCTTAAATCTTTATAATAAAATTATTTTTGTTATAGTTAACATAAACACATTTAAATATATTATTTAACCGAAAAGAAAAAAATAAAGAAGATGGATTCATGAACAAAAAAAGCACACATTTCCACGAGAAAAAAATCAACTTTTTTCTTACAATTTTCATATCTTTTTCTCTTTAGTCTCGTTGTTTATATTCAGAAATGCAATGCTAAGAACACTGATCACAATGCTATTCTTATTGTTTCGTGTTACTGGTTTGATAGACTAGTGGAAAAGCACGGTACACGTGAAACAGGTCTAATCATTACTTCTCTTTTCGTTGAACGTGACAGGTATAATAAAATTTCTTCATAGCTAATTTGATAAACCCGCGCAAAATGGCCGACATGATTACCTAGTTGTTCTTTCCTTCGAATTCTTTCAGTATTATTGTTTTTATTCAGTCAAACGTGTTTGACGTGTTGTACGTATTATCGTATGCACTTTCTATTTTTATTTCTTTTATGTATTAGTAATAATTTGATATATCGATGGTTGACGCACCATGTTGTCGCATGAAATTCATATTACACTTGTTAAATGAAAGGTGACAGCGTCAGGCTAATTTTATAATAAATATACAGAATATTTGGCAAACATATATCATATGAGATTCTATTTAATGTTAAAATTTAACAAGAAATTAATTCTAATGATATTTATGTGATATTTTGTATTATTTATTAATTAAAATGCTTTTAATAGAACTTTTTAATAGAATTTTTACGATATCTATTTCGAAAAATATCGTAATGAAAAATTTAATCAAATAATATGATAAAGAAATATTAACCAATAATATTGAATTTCATTAATTTTATCCAAGCTAATTCTATTCTAACCACTTAATTTTATAGCCAATTTTTATGTCTATTTTTAATGATATTGATGTAAATTTTCATTTTACCAAATATATATTTTTTGTATCAAACATCACAATGAATTAATTATTTCACTTTTAATATCAATAGTTATGATGAGATAATTGAAGGATAGTCTGTAGAAGAAATATAATGACTCTTAAATGAAAATATGAAACAACATTATTGAATAATACATTGACAGGTTTGCGAAACGTGTATTATTCTGTGTTTTCCGATAATCAATTCACTTCTTCAGATGCTCGAATATGTTTTGACGCTTGACCGATTTTACAATATGCCACTATATTTCTTCCAGCAACGACTTGTGCATTGCGTTCCATTTTCAGAACATAACCTTCAAGTACAGAATTTTATTTTCATTTAAAGCAACGAATATCACAATAAGGACTCTCTTATTTGGAAAAGAACTTGAATTAACTTGAATATATAGGATTATCTCAAAAGAGACATCAAAAAAATTATTAGAATAAAATAACTAGAGCAACGATTATTAAAATTTCTATAATCAAATCAAAATCTATATTATATATATATATATATATA